TCGTACATTATATTCTCCTGATATAAATTTACAAATTTATCTTCCTCTGGAATAACACATTTTGATATCAAGAGAATATAATAAGACAAGAGGTATTACGAATTTCCAGCGGGAAATTTGAATACTTTTGCGAATTTTGTTCCCAACTTTTACATTTTGGTATCAGGAGAATATAATGAAGAGGTAGTATAAATTTCTGATGGGAAGTTTGAATGTTGCTGCAAATGTTTTCGAAAGATTGAATTTCTCGATTATTCATATTTTGATATTAAGAGGATATATTGAGTGGAAAGGTAACACAAATAAAAAGAACTAGACTGACTTAACTATTTTCACTTTTATTTATATTCTAATACAATACTATACAACGTGTGTGTGTGTGTGTGTGTGTGTGAAATGTAACAATAAATAGTATACAGTATAATAATGTGCAATGCAATATGATCTAAATATTATATATTAAATTTACATATATGTAACATGAAATAACATACACATATAAAAGACAACATATATAATTATTACATCATTATAATTACAATGTATTATAATACAATCTACAACCGATAAGCGCCGTAAATATTACTCTTAATTGCTTGTCAAATGCCAAATAATTGCGAGACAATTAAACATCATTAAATTATCCATACTCGATTTCGTTTTTCGACATCGCCATCTCTAGTGTGGGCTGAGCTTTACTAAACCTATATTTGCCAGAGCCTAAAAGCAAGATGTACTCCGTAATACGCTCGTTCGTCGGATCTTTCAGACGAGAAATAATCAAGACTTTGAATGGCGAGACAGGGATCGTTAAACATTACAAACATTCGCAACCGGCACGTTCCGTTACGTTTATTACGTTTACATCTGCTCATGTGAGATTTTACGACCGAACGTCGATAAGGTCTTTCGCAGGTTATCAGAATCAGCGGTCACACTCACACGTGCGTAATTTGCCGTACTTATCGTCGCTTTCCATGTGACGAGGATCACGTGACCCTGACTGGCACTTTTTTTTTACTCTGAAATATCGAGAGAGGAAAAGTTTGCGTTGATTTGCCGCAGTGCTGAATCTCCTGTTGACAGAGTTATTGTCACCTGCTGTCATCCCGATTGCAATCTTCATTGGAACAGTCATTCTGGGTCACGTGATCAGCCTAGCATCTGTTTTCTCGCGACATCGACGTACATGGAAAGGGACTTGGCATTTTGTGTGTAAATATATCGTTAGAGAGGAGGGTTTCTGCGTGAATTTAGGCGGCGAATTACCGTGAATCGAAGGACAAAAGTCGATCGGAAATTATGGCGAGGATACAATACCCCGTGGCGCGCAGGGACGAGAGCATCGTCGATGACTATCATGGCATCGAGGTTAGAACATTATGCAGATAAAACGCCTCTTAATTTCTAGATATATATGTATATATTCTATCCTACTTTATCTTCCTCACTATCTCTCTAATTACTTTCTGTTATTTATTTCTACTTGGTACCTGTCTAGGATATCTTATGCATTTTAAATATCATGCAAATCGGAGTTGGAATATTCTTACATAATCCGATGTAATCATGTTTCCTCTTATGTATAAATTTGTATAAATACATATGTATAAATACTTTGTATAAATGCATACATGATGGATATTCTGTTCGCAGATAGCAGATCCTTACAGATGGCTGGAGGATCCAGATTCGGAAGAAACTAAGGCATTTGTCGAAGCTCAGAATACTATTACGAAGCCGTATCTGGCTTCATGTAGTGTACGTAATAATATTCACACAAGATTGAAACAGCTGTGGGATTTCCCAAAATATTCGTGTCCAGCCAAGTATGGTGGGAAATATTATTTTTATAAAAATACTGGTTTACAAAATCAGAGGTACGGTATTATTTATCTCTCATGTATTGTTATCATACATAACTGCTGTCTCGATACCTACCGTGGATATTGCAGTTTAACACAGGTAAAATTTCGTTTGCAGTGTTCTATATGTACAAGATACTCTTGAGAGTGAACCAAGAGTGTTCCTTGATCCTAATACTTTCTCTGAGGATGGGACCGTCGCAATTACCAGTAGTAGTTTTAGCGAGGACGGTAGCATATTCGCGTATGGTCTGTCTAAGAGCGGCTCTGATTGGAGTACAATCCATTTCCTCAATGCAGAAACCGGTATGATAAAAAGATTTAACAATTCTCCTATTATATAGAATATTTGTACATATTAAGTACATATACAAATATCGTACATGCGACGATGTTTGCTAAGTTTTACTGTAAAAGCAATTCCCCCCCCCCCCCCTTTTTTTTTTNAATGCTCATTTGTAGGCGAAAAGTATCCCGAAATCTTGGAAAAGGTAAAATTCTCACCCATCACATGGACTCATGACAATCGGGGCATTTTTTACGGCCAGTATCGGGATCAGCAAGGGAAAACCGATGGTTCGGAAACGTTAGGTAATCAAAATCAAAAGTTATGCTACCACATCGTTGGTACACCGCAATCGGATGACGTCGTCGCGGTCGAGTTCCCTGAGGAACCGTTATGGAGGATGTAAGTATTTCGCAAAAATGTCATATATGTTAAGAACCGTATCCTGAATTCTTCTATCGATAAAAATGCCTTAAATGTGGCTTCTCAGCCAATCAGGTGACTCCTAAGTCACTTTTATCGATAGAAGATGCACTCCCAGCGCGGTTATTCTGCGACACTCTATATATATTAAATTATGTTAATAATTATATTAATAATCACACTTACTGAATGTACCTTTGTGTGTGTGTGTGTGGCTTATCAGAGGTGCACAAGTATCCGATTGTGGTAAATGGCTCATCGTTACCCCTTTGAAGGACTGCAGGGATAATTTAGTATTTTTTACGCCATTGAAAGCTGGAATGGAGATATCTACGAATTTACCATTGACACAGGTTGTTGATGTACTCGAAGCCGATTACGAAGTTAGTAACGAATACTTTGCCTTTTCCTCCGAATCTTCCATCCGATACTTTCACACTGACGACATTTGAACGGATCTTTCCAGTATGTGACTAACGTTGGTACCAAAGCTGTGTTCCGCACAAATAAAAATGCTCCTAACTACAAGTTGATAGCTATAGATTTGTTAGACTATGGGCAAGACAGGTGGGTCGATCTTTTGCCGGAGCATCCTGAGAATGTGCTAGACTGGGCCACCGCTGTGGACGGAGATAAGTTTGTTGCCTGTTACATACAAGATGTTAAGGTGAATACGTGCAAATACGTTGCTTACAGTAATGGTGATAACAACAATTACGAGCGGATTGACACGAATCTATATTTTACAGAATATTTTGCAACTGCACTGTTTGAATACCGGTAATGTACTTAGAACATTCCCTCTTGATCTCGGCACTGTCGTCGGTTTCTCGGGAGAGAAGAAGTATTCTGAAATATTCTATCAGTTTACATCATTCTTAACACCCGGCATCATATATACCGTAGATTTGAAGAAAGAAGAAGAGCCACGAGTTAGTGTCTGTCTCTTTCCAAGTACTACGAGTACGAAACTGTTCACAGCACATCGTCCAATTATGAGACGGCTTGATTATTGTTGATTTCAGATATTGCGAGAAATTAAGGTGGAACACTTCGATGCGAGCTTATACAAGACTAGTCAAGTATTTTATCCAAGCAAGGACGGCACAAAAATCCCCATGTTCATAGTAACAAAGAGCGTACGTATAATATGCGACCAAGTTTCTATTACATGTTGTCAGAAATATCGGCGAGACACTGTTCGAGATGCCGTCAACTGTATTGGGTGATAAAAGAAAGGCCCATCTTCGTGATCAATCTCGTTTTATGGTCGTTAAGGTAGTTGTAACGTAAAATGAGGTTTAAGTATTCGTTGATACTTATGCTATATATAGATTTAAATGTGACCTAATTTCATTGACACAATTATTAGAATTAATTATAAAGTGAATTGACCACTCGGAAGCTGAGATATTCGCAACTAAAGATGATACTTTTTTTTTTTTTATACGTATTCCTTGAGGTTAACGTCCTCTTGTTAATTTCTCTTTTTTACTTTCTACCGCATGTAGGATTTTAGTAAAAAAAAAAAAACTGTGATTTTAAGGACTAATGTAGAGACATATAAACATTTCCGAATTACTGACCATTTTATTTCGAAAATACAGTGGTTTAAAGTTCATAATTTATAGTAATACTTGAAATATTTGGGCCCGTATGTACATATTTAAACATTTATATACCTTTTCCTATCATCTCTCCTAGGCCAACTAATGCATAGAAATGGCATTAATAAGAAAAATGAAAAATAATATCGATAAATACTAATAAATGCTAATAAATTGATGAGTGGCCTCTTTGACGCGCCACTGAATATACGCGATACAAGTACCTTAGGCTCGAAGCACAGTTGCGGGGTCTTTGATAGTATCTCGTCGGTGTTGAAAAGTGAGAGAGGATCAGACGGAGTTTTAAACTTAGGACACTGTATTGGACGGAAGCATGCCGGCCTTGCTTTACGGGTACGGCGGTTTCAATGCAAGCATACAGCCTACGTTCAGTGTAACGAGACTCGTTTTTATACAACACTTAGACGGAGTGCTCGCTGTCGCCAACGTTCGCGGAGGAGGGTACGTGGTGATGTGACGTGAGGAGAGAAGTGTTTTCCGAGACATTCGTGTTCGCACGTGCGAAATATGGCGGCTTCTTGTTGCAGGGAATACGGGGAAAAGTGGCACAACGCCGGTCGCTTCTTCAATAGGCAAAACGTCTTCGACGATTTCCAGTATGCGGCCAAGTATCTCGTGGAGAACGGATACACCACATCGGCGAAGCTGACGATTCAGGGCGGCAGTAACGGCGGTCTGGCGGTCGCCGCTTGTATAAACCAACGACCTGATCTGTTCGGCGCGGCTATAGCTCAAGTGGGGTGAGTTAACGAGGATCCCGTGGCGTTACATGCCGATTCGATCGCGCGCAGCGATGAATTAAAAGACGAATCTGATGGTATGTTCGATCTTTTATGGCGAATTCGATCGGATATAGCAGTGCGCATCAGCGCCCATTTAGCCGGTATCCGTTTTTATATTTAAGATCCGCTGTACGGATCATCTCATTGGCTACAGAACATCCGAAGATGAACCTCGGACGATCTCAAATGTAAGAAATACCGACTATTGGCAATTCTCGATTTACGGCTCGATCTGATTTGCGCGCGGCATTCCGATAATCTCCGCAGTACCACAGTCTATAATTCATGCGACGTATATTGTAGTTTGCAATACTGTAGCGATTATCGGTACACCGCCCGAGCTGGGTCGTAAATCGAAAACGCCATATGATACCGGCTTTAGTGCGTATTAATGCATCCAGTCGAATTCGCCATTAATTAATCGCTCTTAAATGTGGCCCCAAGTGTGATAGTTGCATCGGGTATAAATATGAGATAAAATTCATACTATTGGAATTTTGGCGGGACGCTTGCAGAGTCATGGATATGCTGCGTTTCCACAAGTTTACCATCGGTTCGGCCTGGGTCTCGGATTACGGGAGCTCGGATGACCCGAAGCATTTCCAGAATCTGTTGAAGTACTCACCGTTACACAACGTCAAAGTGCCACAGGACGACGCACAGTACCCGGCAACGTTACTTCTTACGGCCGATCACGATGATCGTGTCGTGCCGCTGCACACCCTCAAATTGATAGCGACTCTTCAGTATACGCTTGGAAACGTACCGCAGCAGACTAATCCTTTGCTCGCGAGAATAGATACCAAGGCAGGTCATGGCGGTGGGAAACCAACCATGAAAGTGGTGAGTGTTTTCGCAGTCGCACATCTAAGTGTACGTGTAAGGAACTGTACACAGAGAAAAGGCTTTCTTTGGATTTAATATGCGTGTTTGTTCAATTTGAGTTTGTTTGTAAACTACACGATTTAACATCAAATATCCTTTTGTTTGAATGAAAGTGTTGTTGTTTCACTAGAGTAAACAATTTGAATTGATCAAATGCGAAGGAATCTTTTTCCCCGCGTATTTAAAATGTATGTATATACGCGATTAATTGAATACAAAAGATGCCGGTCGCATAATCGAGAATCGTTTTATTTCAGATTGAAGAGAGCACGGACATCTTATCGTTTATCGTGCAATCCTTGGGCTTGGTATTCAAATCGTAATCAATACTTAAGAGAGCACACACGGATTCGATATGTTGCGTAAAAATAATTGCAAAAATCAAAGAACTATAATGTGATACACGTCACTGAGTTCTACGTGGTTATTGTGTGTAACGCGATGCATTGTTGCGAATTCATCAATCATGCTTCGATCACAAATTGTTTTATAACAATGTGTTTCTATTGCCAAATAAAGATTATGAAATTTATACATCACGGACGATTCCTTGCAGCACTCTCACGTGAAATAATCCGCGGTGCTCTGTATCTTTAAAATAGATATCGCGGTATTTACGTCAAGTTACCGCCATGCGACTTTGAAAACTAATCCGAAAACTAATTTGTGCTCATACTTAGGCTACTGCGTCCTCTGTAATTAACCCATTTCGGATCGGGCTGCAAAAATATTGAGATCCATGAGATCCGTTTTAAGGGCGCAAGAAACTCAAAAAATCTAGAATCAGAATTTCCCGACCAGCCGTTTTCCCTGGAAAACAATCGGAATATTTAGCTCGAGTGACACCTGGCGTACAATAACGGGAATCGTCATTCTTGACGATTTGGACGTTTGGTAACGATACTACATTGTTTTTTTTATTTGTTACTAGTTTTTTATTTGTTATTATTTTCAATTAATTAAAAAGGTACGCTTTGCTAGGTTATTTTCCACTCCCACCTACTATCGGGAGGGTAATGGGTGATGGCCAGGTGAAATTATTTTCTGAAAGATACAAATTTAAACTATATTTCAGCAACAAAACCAGAATCTACCTTTACCATAGATAAGAAAAATGTTTGAAGATAGATAAATTTGCTTCCTATATATAGGAACGGAGGAACGAAATGGGTTAATATCATAGCATCTGTTAGTGCCGAGAGTACAGACTACTTCGACATCCTCTTAAACGCTAAGGAATACAATAATTATACAGGGCAAGGTATTAATTATTACCACCTTGAATACACCTTCGAGATACGAGACTAGGAGATGTATTCAACAAAAATCGCAAGTCATCACTTCGAGAATATTACATATTCTGTAAATGTAAACTTTTTCTCATCTTTATTTAATCGTTAATAAAATATTATTTTTCGAAGACATTCAAGATAATAGTAATTCCTGCCTCACCCTGTGCACATGTTCTCCTGAACCTTAGTAGAATTAGGACGTATTTAGCGTATGTCAACGATAGCGATTGAAGCAATCGGTGGTACAGTAGCTTTAAGAAAAAAAAAAGAAAAGAATCACAGTTCCTATATTGATCATCGTTGGGAAACGATAATTTCATTGTGCGTCAACTATCATCAAAGTAACAAAACGGTAAAATTGACAAGCATTCTGTCTCGGCGAGAGAGCCGAGTTTACGTAATGTGCTAAAATGTGGACAATTACGCTCCACTACGGGCGTCCTCGAAGACTGTATAAAAACGGTAAGAAGTTACCATGATTGTATAGAGCTAGTGTGCGCCACACTTCAGCTAGGAATAAGATCGGAACGGGCGTAAGGTAGGCACGCGTCGCGTGTTTCCCGTCGGCGCGTTTCCGTCGCTGGAAGGCGCAGCGAGGCGCTTACGGCCACCGACTTTCTCGACTCTAATCTACGATTACGTCAAAGCTCCTGCTGATCGAGACCATTGCTGAACATCGCCGCAAAGTACTGCGAGAAGAACTTCCCCAAATATTGCTCCTCCTTGACCGGCCAGACTCCCTCCAGGAAACCGATATGTCCGCCACGCGACGTCACCACCACGGCCACATATTTGCTCTTGCTGATCTCCTTCAGGGGTATCGCTGGAAATTCACTTCGGCGTCAAACGATCTCTCGCGTGCAACGAGAGTCTTATCCGAGCAGCGCAAAGTTGATTCGGCCAACGTTGGGAAACGATTAGCCAACCAATTCGCGCTGTTCGGGTGGATATAAATAGAGAAGCGTCACGAAAGAAAGTCAATCTTGAGTTTGGCTATCTGAGTCGCCGTTTGAATTTTATTTATTTTTGTTACATATTTTTGGTACGTCGCGACTCAGTAAAATCCTTCTTCGACGTGCCGAGCGGCTATTAAATTATGGGGAGAGCATTCTAACTTGGACTAATTACTGAGATTAATCTCTTGTAAGCCAACCTTTCTTCCTTACTCATCTTCCTTCTTCCAGTTCCTTGTTACTCGTTTGCTCCGAGTATCTCCGTGCAAAGAAAACGGCGGATATTCGATATATTGGATTCAGTTGAGCTTCTCTATTTATATCTAGTTAATCTAATTTACGCGAGTCTCACCTTTCAACGGCTGGAACGGGTCGTCCGCCGCGTTTAGGCACAACGTCGGTACTTCGATCAGGTGCAACTTGTCGTGGATCGTCGCGTTGCTGTAATACTCCTCGACGTCCTTGTATCCGAATTGCTTCGCCGTAAAGTGCGAGTCGAACTCCCTTATCGTCTGACTCTGTCACAAATGTATAACGGTGCCAACAATGTAACGATATTATGATGGAAATACAATTACGACTCCGTTACAAATATCATATTCGCATCAGCGCTTTGGTACTCAATCACGTTAATCTAAAACCCAAGACTTCTCCCAGACGGCACAAACTTCGAAAAGATGCCTTAAAAAGGCGTTACTTTTTTTTTTAGGAATTTTTAACGGCTTTTAGACGGTTTTAAGACGTCTTTTGGAAATTTGTGCTGCCCGAGCTCTAACTCTTCTTTATATTTTACAACATGTAACGTTTTCAAATATGTGGTTCTTAATGTCGCGTACAACGTCGTTGTTAACAATATTTGACTGAAACATTAAGAATAATATTTCTACACTATGATTCAATACTGAGGAATATTACATTATCGAGTAACAGTTTAGAAACATTTATAAAATATTGTGTGAAAAAATATTTGTGAAAATGTTCACAAAATTCACATAAAATTAACGTTTCACGCCTACTGGGAAGTTTATATGGATAATATTAATAATAATAACGACGTACCTTAAGGACAGTGTCCATGTCAACGTTAAAAGAGCCGATGTCGGACAAATTATATTTTTGTACAGTGCGACGTAGATTGCTGGCTAGGTGTTTGTTTAGCATTAGATTAAAGTAGTTCTCCTCCGTATTCTTCGACGCGGCGAACACGTTCCACGGTACCGAGATAATAAGGCAAGCTTTCAGTTTGGTTCTCGCCGTCAGGCCTTGCGCCAAGTAGTTACCTAAGATCAACCTGTCCGCGGCGAAAGAAGCGGATGCAATGACTCATGGAGGTATATATAACGGTGTGCATTAATTTGCAGACGCGTCATGGTCTCGATACATTGCACGGATACGTTAGATCCGTTAGATATATTCGCAAAATTTGATTTAGAAATCAATTAGTACAAGGAAAACTATAAAATCGGTTGAAAATTAAAAATGAAACGAAACATAATTTAGAAACAAGTTAGCATGCGAAAAAGTAAAGGTAAACTAAATTAGTTAAGAATTAAATTAAATGATTTAAAGATAAGTTAGTGCTTAAGAAAAAAAGATTAAGTCTGTTAAAAGTTAGATGATTATAAGTTAGAAATTGAATTAAATTATTCGGTTTAGGAAGAAGTTAAAGTTCAAAATATCGAACTAAATTGAAACTAAAATTATAAGTTAACGCATATATAGAAAGAAATTGGCCCTTACCCTCCCATGGAGATTCCGGTGGCTCCGAGGATTGCGTGAGGATGGAGCTTCCTCACGTGCTCAATGACTTCGGTTAGATCATCGTAGTTCGCAGCGCAGTAAGTTCGCGGGGTCTGCAAGTAGACAAACATTATTCCCGATGGTGTAACGAGCAATTCCGCAATATTACTCACGGTAAAATGTGTCGTGACGGTAAATTGCGGCGTCACTCGATTCGGAATCGAAGTTGTTTACGCGACAAATTGAATCTCATTATTACCGTCATTATAAAATCACTTTCTGCCATAAAACCAAAAGTCTTACCTTGAGTTTCATGCCGCCTAGGCCTCTGTTGTTGAAGATCACGCATCGTATTCCGATTTTTCTCGCGGCTGACACCAGGCACTTGATGTATTCCGCTTGGCTACCACCCGTGAGACCCGGCAGGATAATCACGATCGGCGAAGTGACGGAGCAATCTTTCTCGGCCCAATCCAGAGCCACCTCGCCGCCATCGGACAGAGTTAAAATTTCTCTGATGGACAAAGCGAGAAATCAAACAGAATTATTACAAGGGTGAAGGTTCTTCGACAAAGTTCGTAATATTCCCGAAAATAGAACAAATTCTTCTTTCGAATCAATGATAACGGACTTTTCTAATATTTGCGACGAGTATGCCTTGGAGTACTGTTATCAAGAAAATATTCTTTCTCCAAGATAGCTGTTATTTGAGAAAAGTAAAAGTAAACCAATCGCTTTTCCTCGCAGTACGATGGCCATTTTTTCGGTGTACCCTCCGTGATTTCCTCACCAACCTGCGATACTCGATATGCGGCAGTATTCGGGATCTCAAGATGCTGGCGAAGATGGTCTGGGCCCGCGACTCGAAGCACCATAACGTCGGCCAGAACTTATTCTGCACCAGCGGGATATTCGCCTCCAAGAACGATCGGAACGGCCCGTTCGCGCAAACCAGCAGGGGCGTCTGGAAATCGAAACAGCGATCATTTTTCCCCATTGATCTTCCCCATGATTTCTACAGTCGGGAGCGGCACGCGACGCGAGAAAGAAACATATTTCGTTTCGCTCGATCGCGCCGGCTACGCTATTCCGTTTATCGGCCAATTGACCTCAAAGAAGAGAGAAAGAAAGGGAGGGAGAGAGACAGAGACGTTAACTAATCATGAATAATTCATATATACTTGTCACGTGGTTTATCGAAACGGCTATCGCGATGCATTATCGCAGAATATCATAAATAAATAGTAACAGCCGTAACAGCGGTGAAAATAGTTATTGGAAAAGGCTGTCAAATAAGAAGTAATTGTAAAAAGTAATTGTAATGAATGATCGACCTTCACATTAAGCTATATGTTTGGTCTCTTACGTAAAAACGAGCTACATAATAATCTACCGTTCGAATATTTTAAATAATAATCGCGATTCGAATCAGGATCTCTCATCTAACTTTGAATTTAAATCCGAATGTCTCTTATTCGAGACGAAATTCTAATAACAATTATTAATACGGGCTCAGGATATTTTCTCATCTTCATTCGATACTCCGTGCGGTAAGCTAAACCAAGTTTAACCAAAAACTCTCGACAACGAATGAATCCCTTTCAACATCTTCACGAAAGAACGTTCCGCCGAATGTAAAAACACGAGACTTGCTCGCTTAAATTACCCGATCGTTGTGACATTAATGCTTGCAATTAATAACTATTTACCAGATTATCACTTCACCTGCGTGCGCGCACAAACTGACGCGTTATGTCGGTAGGGCGAGTGTCCCGGAGTTTTAAGGTCATATTAATAAACGGTAGATCACATATCGTGACTGATGTCGCGTACGGGAAGGAGGATCGTACGATAGTTCAAGTATATATCGCGGAAATCCTGTCTATATCGAAGTCGTGGAATGAAAAATTCGTTGTGTGCGATATACAAATATATTCAATGAATATATTTGCCGGGAACATAAGTGATACAGAGTTTGTTTGTTCTCATTTATCACACATAGTGCCATAAAGTAGGTAAACAATTATACCTTCCATGACAAAATATGTTACATAATACATATTTCCTATCTTTACGATTTCTCTTTACGAGATCTCTACCGAAAATTAAAGCCTGCGACATTACCGTGTCCGTTGATAAGCACGTATATTGTCGTTTTTATTAACCCTTTGAGCGCCTATGGACGAATACATGTGCGTCTGACGAATTTCTTCCGCTTGTGTCTCCTCGACACGAGCGACGAAAAATCATCGCTTGTTGCGATAGAAATTCACATTCGTGTTCTTTCATTCGCGTGTTTCGGCGACGGTAAAAATAAGATTTCATTTGTCACGGCTTTTGATATTTCAAGAAGATATTTTTTCTTCACCGATCGACTTGACAAAAGCCTAAAATATTCCGTCGTCAGAGATCGTTTATCTTCGAAACGCTGCCCATTCAAAAATGTTAAGAAGATAAATAGATTGAAATTTTGCTTGTCTGTCTCTAACTTCTGTTGAAGGTCCAACCTAAAACGTTTCCTGTCGGATCGATTTTCGGTAACTTTCCGTTCACGCGCGTCCCACGATGTGACGATTGAACTATGCATAACATTGGAAAATCAAGAGTTGACTTTATGAAATATCGTATGATAATGTATTTCGCAGCAGCAAAATACGTCAAACGGTCTAAAAAATAAATATCCTACGTGTAGCAAAAAAAAAAGAACAATGCAAATGTTATTCAATGAATAATGATGTTTGTATATTGAAGTAAGACGCATGCCGCATATCGCTTGTAATCAATACAAACGATTCGAAGTCGAGAATAATTTCTAACGCCTGACTACATTAGTTCCTTTTCACACTGATTAATGACCGACGACCGATCAGTTTTTAATTCAAAAGTGCCTCTTCAAATATCCTCCTATCGCATACTCTAGTGAAGAAAAGCAGGCATATAAATGACTATTCTCAACAATGCAACGTATACATAGAGTTACAAATGTACGGCCATTCCCTAAATCGGGAGTACACGATTTTCGACCTTATGATTATATGCGTCAAATTAAAAATTACCTAGCAAACATCAAGTAACAGAAGCAACTTTTCGTTTACCAAAATCCCACTCTCGGGACCAAGAATTTTCCGGTGCGCTCCGCACGCGTTATCCTGAGACACTCGGTATAGTACGGAAATATTTTTGCCAATAGAAAAATAATTTGTCAATAAGAAATATATGCACAAGAAGTGATATAAGAATGCATTATGTAAGTATAGTAGTAAGCAAGTAAGTCATCAAGATATCATAATAGCTGTTGGATTCACTGCCTGCCGTTGGATCATCGAGATTAAGCGAGGTCGACCGCGCACTAGGAGTGGACGAGTGACCGGAAGACCAGCTGGCTGCCGCTCGAGATTGAATACACATAGCGGCGCGAAAAAACATGCGAAAATTATGCGAAAATTATGTGAAATTATGCGAAACAGCTTTCGCGATTATCGGCAAATAGGAAGTCAGAAAGTGCGTCTCTCCTCTTTTCGACAATATTTTCTGAATGCTGAATTGTAATGTAAACGTTAAAATTCGACGGATATTGGATGTTTCTGCAAAGTCTTCTCGACGTTGATTCTATTAGGGGTACCCACAAGTAATTTTCGCATTTTGATACTTGTACAAAATTTTATTTTATTTTATATTTAGTAAATTCAGATTAATCAAGAGAAGCGATGTTCAGTCTATCAAGCTGTGTACAATAATATTCAGCAGTTATGGTTTCATTTGGATTCAAAACCTCATAGTAGATATGACGGTCTGAAAAAAATGACGTTATTTATAGGCACCCCTAATATATTTCGCGACGTTGATGCGATACTCGCAATATTGCGATGCAATGTTCCTGAGATATTGATTCAACGTTTGTATGCTGTGCGAGTATATTTCTATAAGGCTATTTGCAATGTGCGTGTTGGTGAGAAATTAACGTTTTCGAGACATAATGAAATGACATCATCGATACGAGACATGTCATTTTTACGTTTCACTGACGTTACGTATTTTTGTATCGGTCATCAACGACGTTACTAACGACGAAAAACTGACGAAAAATTGATGTCATCAGGTTTTGTTGGATATATACCTTCCCAGTAAGTAAGAAATATAAGCATTTTGGCATAATATTTCACAAACATTTTTATATAAACTGTTATTTGATAATATTCCTGAATATTAAAGTCACAGTGCAGAAATATTATTTAGTGTTTGGCCCAAATATTGTTAACAATGACGTTCTATGTAACATTGAGAACCATATATTTGAAAACGTTACGTGTTATAAAAAATGTCACTGTAATAACGTTATGTTCATTCTTTTGTTTACTGGGTCACTATTCCCTGGATCGAAAATTACACGATTTTCAACCTTGCGCGTACACACATAAGGTTGTTACAATTAGAGCCATTATAACCTTATAATTAGAATTACTCACACGACTTTCGATCTTATGTGTAAGCACGTGTTAGTTTAAAATTATGTAACTCTCGATCTAGGGATAGATAAAACCTGTATCAGACTATTAAATTTCAGTTCAATGAACTTTGCTCAGATCGTGGCCAAATTTCAATCTAATCTCAATTTCAATCCGTAATCTGATACGGATTTTACCACTCCCTAGATCGGGAGTTACGCGATTTTGAGCTTATCCGTGCTAACGCATAAGGTCGAAAATCGCGTAACTCTCATAAAGTCGAAAATCACGCGAGTAACTCAAGTTTAGTATACTTCGCTTTGATCGGCCAAATTTCAATTCGATCCCAATCCGTCTGTCTGATACGGGTCGCGTGTATGTGTCGTGCCGTACAGCCGAGCAGGGGGGGGGGGGTTTAGGGGCAGCGGAATTATTTAATTTCGCATAAAGATTAGTTCTCCATTCAGGGCAAATAAAAAATGTTGGCGCATATAAAGGGTGCCGCTGTTTGACGCTGCTTAACTAGCTCGCTCCAGCTCGTTAGTCAATGAATGCGCCGCGCGCGCGTTCACGAGGCGTAACGCCAAGTCGCAAAGTTCGTCGTATGCAAATGAAGTGTGACCAGGATTATGGCGGCCAGCTTGTACGTCACGAAATATATTGCGCTAACGGAAAAACAACGATGACAGCAGTATTTAAATCCATGCGTGTCGTCGATCCGCGAGAAAAAAGAAAAAAACTCGCGTGTCCTTCGCCGAGAGCACGTTTTCGCGCATGTTTTTTCACGCTCCCCGTGTCTGATGAAAGGATGTGGTTGTCAGAGCGGTTCTCAGGAGGTGCATTTTTCTACTCTGGATATCGAGATGCGTCGCGAAACATGTCGGGAACAAAGCTTGCGGAAACTACTGAGCGCTCTGCGATTGTTGCTTCTGAGAGATTGGCGGATCCCCCGGATCTACCGAAGATCTGAGAAGGTTCTCCGATAATATGCGATAATCGCGGAAAACGCGAGGGTAAGTCGCTTTTTCTCTTGAACGCAGCGGGCAAAGTGTCGCAACCTTCTTTCGTCTGACCACGTCTACACGTGACTGCGATCCGATTATCGCGGGTACCAATTGCGTTTAATGACAGGCGAAGTTTCCGGTCATGAGAGCACGCGTGACAGATACGATCCGTGCGCGCACAGCCGGCTGATCTGCCGCACGTAGTAGCCGAGTTTGAGTACTCGCGAAATCCTTCTCTCTTTCTCTTTCTCTATCTACCACCCCTTCGAGTTTCCTCCACCGAGTTCACGATGAACGGTCGCCCGATCGCCGTATCGAAAAGTCCCGTGACACGAGTCGAGTAAACACACGATTGACAATCAAATGATACGCCGTAACGTGCGAATCGTCTCTCTCTCTCTCTCTCTCTCTCTTTTTATTTCTCTTTATTCTCTCCCTCTATCTCACCTTGACGACCTCGCAGAGATAATAGACGCAAAAGCCGATGCCCAGCAGCGCGCCGTAGTACAACTTGGGGATGTACTGGATGCTCTCGAACAGATGCAGCAGCATCGTTGCACCGTTGCTGGTGGCCCCGGACGGAGGCCCCCCGATGGCTCGCGGCCGAAACAGCGGATGTGTACGCGCGCGCGGCGTGCGCGCGTTCTCTCAAGCCGGGACGGCGAAGCTCGCTCGCTGATAGCCGGTGTTCAACCAACGACCGTCGCGAGCGTAAGCCGGCAAAGGAAGGCTCGCTGGCGCAAGCATGCCGCACGAGCAATTGAACGGCCGTGTGAGTGGCCGACTGGCGTCGATAGTGCGGAGTCCGCCGTCAGATACCACCGGTGACCTCCCGATCACGTGCGCGAGGCGCGAGTTTGCAGCAACACACATATCTGTAACAAACGGGGAAAAAGAGCAATGCGGCACCCCTCTCTCTCTCTCTCTCTTGGTTAAATCGATGCTGATAAATTCGAGCCTCGACGCCCGCGTTCTTCCTCCCGCTTAATTTGTATACCTGCCTCCCCCCCCCCCNCCCCGACACGATGGCACTTTGATTCGAGTTCGCGTTTTTATATCGTGTTCGTATTATCTTCGGGATCTCCCGATAGATTTGATTATTTATCGCAACCGTCGTATTTCAGACGAGGCGTTTTTATCGCACACCGGACCGGAGCGTTCCCTTCGCGCGGTGTTCCGCTTTAAATCTGCACTCGTCATTCGGTTATCTTTCTCCGCCGCAGTCATCGCATCGCGTTATAGATGCGCGACTGGGAAAATCGTCGTATTCAAAGTTGAAATTTAATAGCCGTTATTGCGCGTCATTGGCAGCCAGGGTCTCGTGCTTGGATATATTGCTTATAATTAATCATCGGGATACATGTGGAAACGGCTCTTTAGGCGCTTCAAGGCTAACGCTTCGTGTCACGAACATTTTTCTTTTTCTTCTTCAATTACGGCCGCACTAATTAACGAAAGGACATGGAGCAATCTCTCCGTTGCGGAATTTTACAGGTACACACGCAACTACGCGAGACGACGGATGATATCTCGAGCGGTGTTCACGTTAGCATTTCTCTCAATATTATTCAACACGTTCCTATTCGTCTGGAACAAAAGACAAATAAAATTAAAAAAGTTACCTGTGCGAAAATGATCTTTGAGATTCGAGCGATTGTTAAGTATGACGGGTGAAAATGAAAATTCCACGTTGATATCCGCGTTGAATCGACCTTCAAATAGCGAGCGTTTAATCAGCGTTAATTTATTCCTATTTACCGGACAAATATTTCTTTAGTTTGAATATCGCTCTAAAAGCAACGGCGAAATACGTACGCAAGATTGCGCGTTAATCCCGATGAATATTTTCGCGAGAAACGATGAGAATTATAATTAAAGGAGAATTAAATATTATAATTAACTTTTTTAATGTATAGAATTAAAAATTAGAATTAACTTTTAACATGTAAAACGGAAAACTATAATCTTTAATTTCATGAAAATTATAATTTCCAATTACTCGTAATAATTATAATCCTCACGAAAGTGTTTTAATTCTATTTTCAATTCTGCAAATTATAATTTTTAATGAAAAAAATATTATTATGATCCTCATAAAATTGCTTTGACTCTCTATTTTAATTCTGTAAATTATAATTTGCAATCCTTCGTATAATTATCATTCTCATGTCCTAATGTATCATGTTTTATGTTCACTCAATGTTAAAGCTTAATGTCGCGCACGTGTCGCTGTTATTTTTAAAACCGCATTCAAACTAGATATACTAGAAACTAGAAATACGTGTCGAGGTACGAAAGGACATGGAGCAATCTCTCCGTTGCGGAATTTTACAGGTACACACGCAAATAATACACGGTATACACGGCAAATAACGATAAGGCTTTCTCCGTCAAATAAAAGTCGATTCGCGCCGATATCAGATCAATGTCGTCGGGAAGCGAAATATGCTTGTCATCGCGGTACATAATCATGTACAAACACGTAGTATCTTACACGTAACAGTCGTTTTAGAGTTTCCACGCAAGCAGAGATTTCGCTCGCACGATATCAGTTGCACGCTAAGGACAGATGTTCGATACTTTCCATTTCAAATTCAAGCGTTTCGCGTTAGTAGCTATGTAGACTTTAACCTGACTCCGGTTTTTACCGGATATCTGATGACAAAAATAACAGTCACTACACAAAAACATAATTAATATTAATTCTGCATTAATGTAATTGATACGATTATATACAAGGTGTCTCAGACCAACAGAAACAAACTTCGCGAGGGCGTAGAACGAATTGAGACGAACAGAAAAGTTCTGCACCATTTAGCAAATGATATGCAAAATTTCAAGTTATTAATTACTAAAAATGGCCATGTATAGAAGCTTCTTTTTTTATAAATAACTCGAAAATTTAAATGTTATTTGCAAAATGGAAAAGGACTTTTTGTTCAGAATAGCCTAATGTAATTTACAAATATACTGAGAGAAAATTATAGTTATTTTCAGTGCCAACGATATCCTTTTATTATTTTAACCGCGAAAATTGTCAAGAGAGCTATATTTTAATATGTGTTATTATAGCGTTTATCTTACATTGCTATTCTTATTTTAGAAAGATATCGTTGCATCGAAAATAATTATAATTTTCTTGCAATATGTGCAATATGTGCAATATGATAGTTGTAGCAACAGGTTAAAAGTTCAGGTCGAAATTCAATGTTAAATGCGTCTGTTGCTAAATATAACCGTCGTATATTTGTAGATTAGGCCATTCTGAACTAAAATAGTCTCTTACTATGTTGCAAATAACCAAACAAATTTTTGAGTTATTATTTAAAGAAGCCTCTATACACAGTTGTTTTTTGAATCATTAATAACTCGAAATTTTACATATTATTTGTAAAATGGTAGAGGACCTTTTGTTCACCTCAATCCGTTTTACGTCCTCATTAACATTTTAATGGCCGCACTTCTACGCGGTCAAACGTCGCCAGAGGCCGGCAATATTTTTGAAGAATTAATTTAAAAAAACTTTATTAAAATTTGTTGTTTACATTCATAAAATCACTTGTTTACATTCATAAATCATCACACAGAGAGTGTGGTACTGGCCAATAATCTTCGGCGGTAGCATCACACACATGTTATGTGAGCGGACAATAACAGTTGTTCCGGCTATCACACACGTGTTGTGTGAGCGGCCATTAAAGTGTTAAGTTTGCCACTATTGATCTGGAACATCCTGTATAAACAAGAATATATAATTTTCTTAAAAAAATTTAGTTATCTTACATTAAATTTAAATAATATTATAATTTTATTCCAATATATTACGACACTAAAAAACATATGATTACTTTTTATTTCTTTACTGAAAAAAAATTTGTTCGCACAGCTAAAAACAAGTTCCCACAGCTAAAAACTAGGTCTGGTGACTAAACTTCAGTTTTATTATATGAGCAGCTAATTACTTTTTCCGTGTTGGTCCGAAGATATTGTTCTTTCCGCTCAATTCACGAAATTTATTCTTGAATAACGAGAATATCATATTTTTAGCGGAACTATATAGATATTTCTTCATATAAGAATGTTTCATCTACTTAATCTATATAATCTCATTTCGATATTCACGTGTTGAGAATCAAGATTTTTTCAAGGAATATTCTTTAGGATATTCTTTATTTTCGTGTACGGCATTGTTCTTCGTCATCGACTTGGCGGATCGTCAGCGGATGCTTCGTTGGGAGGGGACGGGGAAGGAGACGGCAAGAGACTCGTGTGGGGGNAAATTAACCAGTAAGCGCTTTTGACGCTTATTACATATGAATAATCGATAAGAAACTACGAATAAAAGTATAATTTGTTACGTATTATCCGTTTACATATGCATCCGTCGTACTCCACTGCGAAGCGAGACCCGACGGAGCGCGCTTGACCTCGAAGCTCGGACTTGGACAGAAAGAGAGAAAGAGAGAGAGAGAGAGAAAAGAACGGCCGGTGCATCACGTCCGACTTCGGCGAAGCCCTAACGAATCATGACAACCGGGGTAACGGTGTGAAGCCGCATAGCCTAAGCTTCGTTCTTTCGCACCGGCGAGACGCGTGTCGAGCGCGAGATGCGAGGTGCGACGAAACCCTGTTTCCCCGACGACATTCCCGAGACGCGTCCGAAATTCTCCACTGGGAAACCGCGTTCGAGCCGTCACCGCATTCCAACTGCACATACGCACGCACGCACGCACGCACGTGCGTAACGCAGGGATCTACCGAGCGTAGTCGCGACGTGTGTGCGCAAAAGCGAGACCGACAGAGAGAGAGAGAGAGAGAGCGCTGCAGATTATTACGTAACGACGACGTGAACTTTGCGCGCGCCGAGGCGCGTCTCGCGCTCGCACTCCCGCAGCGCAGCCTTCGTCCCGCGGAGCATCGCCGCCACTGACGTTCTCTGTCGGCCGACCGAACGTCCCACCCGTGCTCTCTCACCTTCTAGACTGCGGCGCCCGCGGGCTCGTGTGGTCCGAGGTCAGTTCGCGGAGAAGAGCCGCGAAAGCGCGCGATCGATCGCGACCATCGACGAGGACCGACACGATTAAGTTCGTAAAAAGCATTCATCGCAGTTACAGAACACACTTATTCGTTATCCAGTATCACCGGTCCCCTCCAAAATAGCCCTCCCTTCTGAAGCGGTGCACTTGGCCCGATTTTTTTCCCATTGCAGGGAACAGTCTTCAAAATGAAGACTTTCGCTCGTGATCCCTGATGACGATGATCCTTCATGTCTTTCTCGTTCTTTTATTTTCTTCAAAATCAACCTTCGGTTGGTTCGTCGCCCGATCAAACTTTTTCTCCCGTGCATCGTTGTCACGACACGATACGATCGATGATGGAAAGTTGGCGGTTTTTACATACGATGAAAGAGGCTGTCACACAGAGGTGTCCGATCAAAATGAAACAGAAAAGCTCTTGTCCGGAACCTTTTCGATGCGGCGTGCTGTAACGAAAAGCTCTCGCTCTTTGCAGTAAGATATTAGTTTGTGTGATACTAAGGCGAGGAATAATATAATAAAGAAAATCCTAACCCCGTAAGATTGACACGCGAGCTGCCGTACATGTACAGCGTCCGATAATGACGAGCGATTTTCCACGAGACTGGCTTAGTGAGCGCTTTACTATGCGCTATCAGTAGCTGTAACCAGTAGTCGTAACGTTTTCTGCTAATCGACATTAACAGCTTACGTTTTACCGACGTGCTCAATATGCTAGACAGCTTGATAAAAATGTTGGAAAAGCATAAACCGCGGAGTTTCGTTCAACTGAAAAATCTCGCAACAATTGCCGATAGCGTATCGGAAAGCGCTTAATAAGTCCTTCCTTAACTCTCCTACACTTTCCTTACACACTATTTTTATAAGGATTTCTTCTAGAAACTGCTGTGTCTCCATGTATACCGTGCTATCTATGTCGCTATACAGATATGCGTCAGTGATATCCAATTGCGATATCGTCATTCCTAGTTCAGCTGATAGAACGACGAATAGTCTCTCAGTGATCTTAATTTTGCCACAAAAGGAAACGCCTGTTAAAAACAACTTTCAAAATGTTGAAGGAATCCATTGACAGTAATCCGAGCTTTTATTCTGACTACCTGGATGAATGGTTCTATTTTACTAATTCTGCGCTTTTTATACAGGATTGTACAACATCCAACAATAACGTCTAAAAACAACGTTCCTTTTATTGAATGCAGCCAATGTTAGGACTCTTATCTGATCTGCTGATTTCTCGTTATCTATTAATCAATCCGCGATATCGATACAAATAACGAAGTCTAAAACTTGGTGCAGTGAGTTTCACGCATATTAACAGACAACATGTCGCACGATACTGCGCATTCTACTTGCCCCGAGTTGCTGTCCAAAAACAATTACGACACTTGGAGGATTCAGGTAGAGGCTCTGTTAAGGGAAAAGGGTACATGGGGCTACGTTTCCGGAGAGAAGCCGATACCCGACGTCTTAACGGATCCATTAAGGCTAGAGGCTTCGCAGACAGCGTACGAGGAATGGATCATCGGAGACCGTGAGACCAAAAAAGATATCATTTTACTGATCAGCCCATTGGAATATAAACAGATTGAAGTTTGGAATACATCTAAAGACATCTGGGACAAGTTGGAGTCGATTCACGCGGCACGTAATGCAAAACTTAAGGCAAGAAGTCTTCTAACACGTCTTATGCACAAAATGCCGGAAGGTGGTAATGTAACAAATCACCTGAATGATTTTTTCGTTGCTGTCGACGAACTGAAATCGATGAACGTCGAAATTAATAGTAATATATTGTCAATTATGATATTAAACAGTCTACCGAGTAGCTTCGATACGTTCAGCTGTACAATAAAGTTACATGATGATTTACCAGACGCTGAGACCTTGAAAATTAAAATAATTGAGGAGAGCAAGGTTAGAAAATTGAAAAAAATATCCGAATATGAATCCGGTGCTGCGGTCGCAACCCATCAAAGCAGCAAACGAGAAACATTACTGTCTAATATTCTTCTATTATTGCCGCATACAGAGTTACATGTTTATAAAAAATGGTATGTGTCAAATTGTGTCTTGGAGAATATTTGCTACTATGACGCTTCTAAGGGTCTGGATAATAACAAATGGGAACCGAGTATTTACGACGAGGTGAAACTTCACATTGCCAACGATACCTGGGAACTTGTCGAAAGACCAACGGATAGTAATATTGTTGGATGTCGTACAGTCCTGTACAAAAAGCGCAGAATTACTAAAGTAGAACCATTCATCCAGATAGTCAAAATAAAAGCTCGGATTATTGTCAATGAATTCTTTCTACATTTTGAAAGTTGTTTTCAACACGCGTTTCCTTTTGCGGCAAAATTAAAATCACTGAGACTATTCGTCGCTCTATCAGCTGAACTAGGGATGACGATATCGCAATTGGATATCACTGACGCATATCTGTATGGCGACATGGATACCACGGTATACATGGAGACACCGCAATTTCTAGAAGAAATGCTTATAAGAATAGTGTGTAAGGAAAGTGTAAGAGAGTTAAGGGAGAAAGCCGCGGCTATGCTATTGCAACTTCGTCGGGGACACAAAGTTTGTCTTCTAAAAAGGAGGTTATATGGACTACCTGAATCCAAAGACAAAGTGAATCTTAAGCTTGGCGAAATACTCGAAGATGCTGGATTTTCCCGCTTATGTATTGACCCCTGTGTTTATGTAAACAAAGAGACAGCTGCCTTTCTCTTCGTTATGTGGGATGACGTTTTCATCGCTTCAAGGGATCCCGATCTAACAAAAAGCATCATCGATGTATTGAAGAATCGATTCACCTTCGAGAACCTTGGAAAGGCCAAATATTGTGGGAATATAGAAATAGTCCAGAACAGCGGGTGTATCCGTCTCTTTCAGGAAAGCTATATTAAGAGATTGTTGTTCGTCTATAGGGACGTTCTTTGCAATACGGCAAATACTGTGGCTAGTGATGCCAACCTGCCGTTTCCGGAAGACAGCGATCATTCAGTCAGGTACAGGGAGCTTGTAACATGTTTAATAGAGCTAGCTCTAAGTACCAGGCCCGACATCGTTCACGTTGTAAATGTATTGACCCAATTAAATTGCAAATATAAGAAGAAACATTGGGAGGTAGCGATACATGTGCTCAGATACCTCGAGAATACCACTGGTTTCGCTCTGTGCTTCAAACGCACGAGAAAGGATATTCTCGGTTACGTATGCAACAGTTGGAGTAATTATCCAAGTGGCAGATGTTTTTACACGGGAAAGGTATTCCTTCTTGCTGGAGCAGCTATATCCTGGAAATCCTGGAAGCAAAATACAGACATCCTTTCGTCAACTGAGAGCCTTGCATGGGCTACGTCAGGACTATATGATGCAACAGGAGAGGCTACGTATCACATCAAATTCCTGGAGCAGCTGAGAATCGATACGTTCCAAAATGTCACTATTTTTAACAACACTGAAGAAGCCAAAGAGTTGGATAATACTTCTATCTACCTCTCTATTTCACGGTTCTACAACCACGATCAGAGCGATATCACCAAGAACCAATCTGTAACACTCGAATATTTACCTATAGAGAAGATGATGATTGCGGATATATTTATCGAAGCACTTCCAAAAGAAAAACATGAGTTTTGCGTTCGCGAACTTGGACTAATGGATACTTAAAATTAACATTTCATAAAAATTAATGTTAAAAAGAGGAGAAAGTTAGATAAAACCAGACTCGAATGTGCTACGTTCTAGTCCATCGCTTCCCCTTTTTTCACTAAAATATGTTTATTTTTACGTTTAGAAAAATATTTTTTAACATTTTTCTAAGTTGTTTTTTAACGTTTGATAAAAGTTTGTTTTAATCTTTGAAAAAGGATTTTTTGACATTGAATAAGCGTTAATTTCACAATTTTAACCAATATTTTATAATATTTAAAAAAACGACTATTTTAACGTTTAAAAAAATGTTTATCATTTGAGAAATATTTAGTTAAGATTTGAAAAAATAATTGTTCTATATTTATAAGGTATTTTTAATATTTGAAAAATATATATGTTATGTTTGAAAAATATTCTTTTAATAGAAATAGCAATATTTTGTAAAAGCGATAACATAAACCACACACACACACACACACACACACACACATGTATATGTATACATTTTTTATTTATTAATTAAAGAAGCCTCTATATATAGCCATTTTCAATAATTAATAACCCGAAATTTTGAGTGGTTGTTTGCTAAAAGATAGAAGACTTATCTGTTCGCATTGACCTTAATTACCAGTATATTACGGGTAGCACGACTTTTGTCAGACACCCTGTATATATATACGATATGATACGATAAAGTTTTTATCAGCTTCTAACGCTTCATGTGTTTGCACGGCATCGCCGAATATCCGTCGGCTGTCAGCGCGGTCTGCATTGTTGTGCAACTGCAAGCAAAACTGCACTCTTGGGACCCCGACGGAGCCCATATAGCAAAATATATCACGGATATCTGAGAAATATCTAAATGTCTCAATATCTGATTGTCAAGATGTAGTGACATCTGAAAGATGTCTGTAAGATTTCAATACCGGCCATAGTCCTATGCAAACATTGCAGAGATATCTCGTTCAAAGAAAAAAATGTGATATCGAGTAACGATGTCCTGCAAATACCTTGTGAGATGTCTGAAAATAAAATGTAAAATTTTCTGCTGACCAACAGTTTACGATTTTCCAACATATTTAATACACTGGACAGCTTAGTGAACATATTGAAGAAGCGTAAACCGCCAAGTGTCGTTCAGGAGAAAATCTCACAACAATTACCGGCAGCATAGCGAAAATCGCTTACTAAATTGTTCTTTCTCCTGAATGCAGTCAATGTCAGGACTTTGATTTG